GCCACCCTGATCTCGCCAGAGAGATTTTCACCTCAGCGCGCGAGAGAAATTGTTGGTCTGTGGACGCACCAGTCTCTGGAGGCGACATTGGTGCGAGAGATGGAAATTAGCTATATTTGCTGGGGTGAACAAGCCGTGGTGAAGTGGTTAGAACCCTTATTTCAGATTCTAGGGAAGGCAACGTACGTGGGTCAAGCAGGGTGTGGACAGAGCTGCAAAATAGGGAATCAGATTACAATTGGGGCGAATCTGACTGGTTTGAGCGAAGGTTTGGTGTTTGCAGAACGAGCAGGGTTGAATTTGAAGCAGTTTGTGGAAGCAATCAGAGGTGGATCTGCTTGTACCAAGGCGTTGGAGTTATTTGGAGAGAGAATGATTGAGAAGGATTTTAGGCCTGGTGGGTTTGCTGAGTATATGGTGAAGGATTTGGGAATGGGGGTGGATATAGTAGAGAAGAGTGAGGATGATAAGGTTGTGGTTGCCTGAAGCTTCACTTTGCAAGCAACTGTACTCTAGTATGGTAGCTAATGGAGATGGAAAGCTTGGGGGTCAAGGTCTTATCACTGTCATTCAGAATCAATGGGCTATGAGTTTCTTATTCCCCATTACTTTGAACGGTGGATATCAGCATCTTGCAGGTTAAGTTATTCTAACTTGTATTGTTGTATTTTTGCAATAAGAACTTAACATTGTGTGGTCGGTTAAGAATTTCATATTAGGTCATACGTTTGGATGTGTCTTGCAAATTTGCTTGGCCTAAGCAGCTGGAGTATGAGCTCTTACACGAAAAGCATGAATCTTGTATCTTTGGCTTCCCATTCTTGTTTGAAAACTGCAAGAGGAGCGTCATCCAAGATTCATTTTATTGGACAAGTCTTGAGCCTTGAGAGGCGTTGAGGAAAATAGATGCATTTTGATCATCTGGTAAATATAGTAAATCGTTGTGGCTACAACAGTGCCTGAGGTTTCATTTAGCTTATGCTGGATCTATGACTCTGAACATGCCCAAAGTTTTTTATTGCAAGAACATTTTATTTGGAGACAACCAGAGAGATCAAAATGGCAGCAGGGTATAAGCTTTACTGTAATAAAATGCCAACACCAAATGTAAAACGAAACAAGATGTTAAGAATATGAATATATGATGTGGTATCCTGCGAAATGGGAAGTGTGATTACATAACTTTTATGCTGAAGTTAGGTCGATAGATTTTAGGTGTCCTGTTCCGTATTATACATGAGAACGAGAAGTACCTTAGATGGTAACTGAGACTGATGCATTCCTGAATGGAGTTTAACTTATTGCCGGGAGTGAATATATTTGGCTTAAAAACTTTTCAAAAAGAGTTGTATCATACTCTAATTACTTCTCCGGTCGTTAATATAATATTATTTAATTAAATTTGATTAGATTAAAGAAGTTAGGTAAGCTAGTTAATTATAAGAAATATGAATGTTTTTCCTAAAATGCTATAATCATCTTCCTTAATATCCCTTCCTTCTTCTACTTGACTATGGTTAAGGGGGTATCCATAGGGGTAACTTAGAGAAAATTGATAAATATGATAAATAGATCTTATATTTAGGATTAAAATCAATTCAATAATATGTCCTATATTAAGAACCGAATGAGTAATTATTATCAAATTACAAATTTTTAAGAGAGGGTATCAATTTATTCTAAAATAAGTTGTTTGCAACAATAAAAAAAAAATCTGTGCTTCTGTATCTACTTCTCACTGAGACTGTTTGGGAATTGTGTGAACCTTGGGATCTTTAATCTCACAAGTAACCTTTAGGGCAGGGTCTCCCTAAGATTGATAGTAATGGTATCAAAACATTTCACTGCTCAATTTTAAGGTATCTGATTTATTCTACGATTGCAAGCATGTGATTCTAATATAAGCTTATATGAACTTCGCGCTCTTCTGCATTATGAATTAGCTTTTTTTGGTATGGTTCTCATCCTAAGGTCATATCAGGATGTGTATTAATGACCTTGTAATCTAATGGCATGAATATTTACATCTACAGTGGGAGGTTGTAGGTTCACTTCTGTTTGTAACAATAAGCCGATAGTGTTTGTTCTCTAATTCAAAAACGTTAAAAGGGGTTTCAAGATGCGTTTTTGGAGTGGCTGTTTCAGCTGTCTGTGCCTCATATTTATCTTTGCCATTTTTTTTCCCTTTCACTCATCTCATGGCAATGTTCTTCCACAAGCTTTCCTGAGGAGGGCCTTGCAGGAAATGAGATCTGTTTGAGGGGAGGCTAACTTTTGGGCCATTAGTATGAAAAATTACTCCTCCGATCCTTAATATAAGACATATTTAGTTAATTTGATTAGATTAAGAAAGTTAGATAAGTCAGTTAACTCTAATAAATATGACATGTTTTTCTTAAAATACCTCAATTATCTTCATTATATCCTCTCTCCTTCTCATACTTGATTATGATTGAGGGAGTATCAATAGGAATGATTTGGAAAAAAATTGATAAATATAATAAATGAGTCTTATATTTAGGACTAAAATCAATTTCACAACTAGGTTTTATATTAAGGACCGGATTAGTATTATGCAATGTACAATGAATCTTTGTGTTTGTTTCCCTGAATAACTGATTAAGTGAATAATTGCGTAATTAAATGGCTAACTAAAACAATCACAAATATGCAAAATGTACGAAACGTGTGTGACTCATGCGAAATATATAAAACATGATCTCATGCGCTCTGTTTCAAAGAGAAGGGACCGTACAATTAACATGTGTTTAAAAACTAAAACACTAAAACAACTTTTGTATGTTTTATTGTTTTTGCTTTTGTTTTTTTCTAATTTTTTGTTTAAAAAATTTTGAGACATCTTCTTCTCTTCTCACCTACCATCTACTGTTTACTAGTGCCAGCGACCACTATCATTTACTAAATATGATTTTTTTATATATATTTTTTCAAACATGATTTTTTTAAAATTATTATCCAAACAAATTCTTTTGTTTTTTGTTTTCAAAAAATTCTAAAAAACAATTTTATAAAATTTTTTGAAAACAAGAAAACAAAGAACATAAACAAACAGGCCCTAAACCTAGAGTTCTGTCATTTATTTTTAGAAACAAAAACGTTTTTCTAGACTTTTCAAGAACTAATAAATGCTTATGGGGGAAAAAATCATATAAGTGGCGGAATAATATTGGAGCAATGAACATAATGAACATGATAAATTTAACCTGTGTTTTGTCCTAATTAAAATTAGTGGAGAGTTATGAATTGCATAAAATTTTTTAAAAATGAATAAAAAAAACCAGTTCAAATAAGGACTTGAAGCGTTAGAGAAAGCGTTTGACGTTAATTAATTTATAAGATTAGATCTCTTACGAACTTCATCTGGCATTTCTAAATGGACCAACATCCGCTCTTCTTCTTTGTTCCGAGCCTATTTGAAAGGAAAGAACATTCAGTGCTTCTTAATGGCAAACATTGAAATATTCTTTCGGTCCTAAATATAATACCTCTTTTGTAGTATAAATTACACTACAAAAAGAGTTTTATATTTTTATACTACAAAAATGGTCTTATATTTATATTTAGGACCGGAGGAGTAAGACAAAGCATCTCATGGATATTTGGTGGAGCAATTATTCATTGACTATTTTCTCAAATCTCACTTCTTTTCTTTGATCAATTTATCATAATACCAGTGCCCTTGGCCGGGTTTTATCTTTCTCTGGGATTATGCATCATTCCATTCATTCTTCTCTTCTTTCAAACGGATCTAAATTCTCTCATTTTCCTTTTTCTCAAAATTTCATATTCACCTTTAGATAAAAAAATGAATATCATATCTAGCCAGAATCTTATGTTTTTTCTGTTATTAATTTAATCTATATATATATATATTCACACACAAAATATGGGTATAGCTTCAGATAAGATGGTCAGCCATTAATGCAAGAAAATTTTGAACAGACCACTTTAACAACTCTTTTTTTTGTTGCCTTTCAAAGAATGGTAAACCGGTGTTTTGGCTTATTCATGTGTTATTAGTAACTAGTTAGAACATCATTGTCATCTTTCTCTATAAATATCACAACCTCGTCTTCTTAAGATCATCCAAGCGAATGCCTTCCTCTTCTTCAGGTATATCACTTGTGTCTCTCTCCTCCCTTCCCTGCTATTCCAAAACTCACCATCTTTTTCTTACCTTTTTTTCCTCCAACATAACAGGTACTTATCATAGCTAAGAATATTGATCACAAAAAAACAAAAAAAAGTAAAGGTGTAGCATATAATTTAAAGGGTAGAAATATGTTCAAGTTTTATTTTCTTTTATGCTATTTATTGTTTTTTCTCACTTTATTAAACAATACACATCTCACTGAAAACTCAGATCTGTATCTTTATACATGTAAATATAGCATCATGTTACTGAAATAGATGAAGAAGTAATTAGAGAAGCTAGTTTGAATGGATGTGTTTATATGAACTTTTTTCATTGAGGTGCTTCTTGTTTCAGCAAGATAGAACAGAAGAAAAGCAATTCATAATGGAGATGGACTTGACACCCAAAAAGCCACAGCTCATGTTTGAAGGAGATGGTGGAGCTTACTTCACATGGTCAGCTTCTCAGCTGCCTCTTCTGGCTAGCAACAACGTTGGTGCTGGTCGGCTCCTTCTTCAACCTCAAGGCTTTGCTCTTCCTCACCATGCAGATTCTGCTAAAATTGGCTGTGTTCTTCAAGGTGTATATAGCTCATAATCTTTTCTAGCCATATATTGTTTTTCATTACTAAATATCTGTAATCTGACTGTATAGTCTCCGCAGGAACGGATGGAATAGTTGGGATGGTTCTCCCAGATGCAGAAAAAGAGGTCGTTTTGAAGCTGAAGAAAGGAGATGTAATCCCACTTCCTCTGGGGTCAATCTCATGGTGGTTCAACAATGGAGATTCTGACCTGGTCGTGGTGTTTCTGGGGGAAACATCTCATGCTTATGTTCCTGGCCAGTTCACATACTTCTTTCTAAGTGGATCTCAAGGAATTATGGGAGGCTTTTCCTCTGAGGTCATAACCAAAGCTTACAATTTGAACAACAAGGAAGCAAACAAACTCACCAAGAGCCAGCAAGAAGCTTTGATTTTTAAGCTTAAAAATGGCCAACACAAAATGCCAGAACCCCACATGGATAAGACCAAACAGATGGTGTATAACGTTGATTCTGCAGAACCAGACCATGGTGGGGTCAAAAATGGAGGGTTGGTCAAAACTTTGACTGACCTAGATTTCCCTTTTGTTGCAGAAGTTGGGATGAGTGTGATGAGAGTGAAGCTTGAACCTAATGCTATGAAGGCACCAGCCTATCTAACCAACCCAGCAATTCAATTGATTTATGTTGTTAGAGGAAGTGGGAAGATTGAGATTGTGGGGTTCAATGGCAAGCTTGTGTTGGATTCTAAAGTTGAAGCCGGCCATTTGCTTCTTGTTCCTAAGTTCTTTGTGACTGCACAGATTGCTGGTGAAGATGGAATGGAGTTCTACTCTATCCTCACCACAAAAAGGTGAATTTTGAAACGTAAATAAATATACTATGTGTGTAATTTTGACACAACATCTTAGCCCAAAACTCTTAAGCGTTAAAAAATTTACTTGCAGGCCTGTGTTTAAAGAGCTAGCTGGGAAGTCATCAATATGGGAGGCCATATCTCCACAAGTGCAACAAGTGGCTCTTAACGTGGATCCAAATTTTGAGAAGCTTTTCTTGCTCAACATCAACAACTCCACAAATATCATTCCTCCCACCAACTCAGAATAATTGTCTGGTTCAGTAAGAACACACACAAACGCAATTTACAATTTTGCTTCTTTGAATAATTACAGGCCACATATAGGGCCCACTTTTCTTTGATAATATTGCAGCCAATAATAGAGTAGGACGAAAATTAATTTATGGTTTGTACGAGGAGGAAGAAAAAGAATACTTTAATGGATATGGATCCATCAAGGGTGGAGATTGATTTGGGAGTACGTGAGCAAATTAAAGATGGAGATTTTAGCAGAAAATTATCTTTAATATAAAAAAATACAACATTTAAATCGGCTAAATTAATTAAAGTTGGTGAAGTTTGATTCAAAATGAGTCACTTCTTGTGTGATAAAAAGTATCATCAATGTTAATATACACAAAAAATGAAAAATTGTGGGGATATTCACAACCGTAAATAATAATAATATATGCTAATGATTTTATAAAACCGACGACCTGGCTAACAAACATGAAGATTATCTACAAAATTTCACTTCAACAAGAATTGGGACATTTGTGGCCAACAAGGATATATACGCCACATATGTGCAGATGCTCCCCTTATCTTGAATTTGTGGCCAAGAACTGCATATAATGCAGACAAACGAAATAATAACGATTGATGTTTTAACAGCAAACTATCATGAAAAAATAACCAAAATAAATAAATTTTAAATGACATTAGGTAATTTTGACATATTTTGACATGTAAAAACTACTATAAAAATAGTCAAAACTGTTATAAAAGTTGTCAGTACGATTTTTATCTTTTGAAATTTAACAAGTATTTTTTGTCAATTTTTTTTTCAAATATCATTGGGTATATTTGAAAATAAAACCATATATTTTTTTAGTATTTTTTGTATTTAATGAATTTTATCCAAATTTTTTTTATCTGTGCAATTTTTCTACTTATATATATGTGTATATTATATTTTTGTACATCCTTCCATATAGAATATATATCATTGCAATAACTATCATCTCTTTTTCTATTCATTCTTTCTCTTACTTACTCCCTCTTTCTGTAAGATTATTTTTAAAAAGTAAAATATATATTTACAAGTTATTGTGTTTAACTAATTTTTTAATTTATATAATTCTATCTTGCAGGAAGATCACAAGTGAGGATTATATAATGTAGCCCATTCAAAGTGGGGCCGAAGGGACTATTTCTCAGACACGTTTGTTTGTCTAATGTATATATTGGGCCTAATGGACTCTGTTGCCTTGTCATGCACACTTTAGGCGAGCTAGATCATGGGACTCATTAAGCCTAGAACGTATCTTCATGCTAGAATTTGTCATTAACTAGTTATGATACTTCACAGGAATTATGTTTCTTTCTTGAGATTACAATATAATTTAATTTTATGTTATAAAAAAAGCTTTCGGTGAGGACTTTTTTTGTCGCAACTGAAAATCATCACTAAAAGTATCTTACAGTGGCAACACAAAAAGTCACCTCTAAATGTCTTTAGAGGGCATACATTTATCGGTGACATCCTAGATTTGCTGCTGAAGGACTCACTTTCAGCAATGACCTTTTTTTCCACTACTGAAAAGCATACTTTCAGTGGTGACTTTTTAGGCTCGCTGCTGAAAGTTGACTTTCAATGGCGACTGTCAATGTTGCCACCAAATTATCATCACTGAAAGTCTTTGGGATATTCATTTAGCTTTAGATTTTTAGCAGTGACTTTTTGAAGGTCATACTTTCAGAATGTCACTTGCTAAAAATATAATATAATGATATATATTATTTTACAATAATAATCAGCAAATTCAATCTAGCTCAATAGTAAGAAAATTGGACATCAAAGGAGGTGGTCACGGGTTGAATATTAAAGAAGACATATTTAAGTTGAAAATATTTGGATGGTGACATGCTATGAGAGTGGTGATGTGGCAACCACTAGATGATGACATGACACTGTGAAGCCATTTTTCTCCTGCATCACTTTTAGCAACAACAAAAAAGTTGCCGTTGAAAATCACTTCTGGTAGCGACAATAATTTTAGTGGCTACAAAAGTCACTGTTTAAAATGTCTTTCAGCGGCAACTTTTTTTTTGCCACTGAAACTTTCCAGTCACATTCGCCATGGCATTTTCACAGTGACTTTTATATTTTTAGCGACAACTTTTTGTCCTGTTAAAAGTCATTTTGTTTGTAGTGATATATATAGCAGTCCTTCGGTCCTAGATGTATTTCACTAAGTGCATTATCGGGACTTTAATTGGTACATTATTATTTCCTATCCTTAAAATAAGAGCTAAATAATTAATTTAGAAATATTAAGAAAATTAGTTAAGTTAGTTATTTGTGTTTAATGTGTGTTTGCTTGCTTAAATTAAATTATCATTTTGATTATCTACTTTAAAACTATTTCTTAGTAGGAATCTCTTACAATCAATATGATATTTTGAGAAAAAATTATAAATCAGGGAGATAATATGAGTCAATTGGTCTTAGAATCAAATTCAACTTCTAACTAACTTTTTAAAGATTGGAGGTAGTACTTGGGAACATTGAAAAGCTATGGCGCGTGGGAAGGAGAAATTGGCTTAATTAAAATGCCTTAGCTTTGTCAAACAGACTGTATTTCAAGAACACTTTTGTTAATGCGAGAGTTGGGGTTCATCAGAATAATATATAACTCGATCGACCAAGAATTAAAAACAAACAAGACCCATAATTTCTTGATTCATTGCATAACAAAACTCAAAACTCCCGGCGGGCAATGGACCTAAATATGGAAAGTTTCGGCAGAAAGAAAGATCATATATATATATTTATTTATATATAAGAGAATTAAATTTTATAAGACTTTATTTATAGATTATAAGTAAGGTCTTATAATTAGGATCAGAAGTAATATAAGGGAATTAAATATTAAACATTTAAGATGCTCTTAGATGTTGTAGGCCGCACACTACACTGATAATAAGCCTACTCTTCCTCCACCCCACAATTTTTCAAGTGATAATTAATAAATGGAAGATAAAATAGGAATTGACTATATATCAACTTTAATCACAGAAAGGTGGCGATCGGTGATTGCATGCATGGTGCGTATATTAGTGTAATGGATTTATCAAATCATTCCAAATGGTCTGCTCAAACCCCAAAAAATCAGTCTTGTGCTTTTTTTGGTGTCTTGATCATACCAATTTTTCAGACCAGGAATAGAAGGAGTATTGATAACTTCAAAAAAATTTTAAAAAAAATCATAATTAAGGGGTGTTTGGGTTTGGCTAAAAGTACTTTCTAAAAATATTTTTCTGTAAATTGAGACAAACTTCTTTATATATTAACTTTGTATATTATAAAATTACTTTTAAAACTATAATTTGATTTCCATCCAAACACTCCTTAAAAACAAGGTGAAGAAGAAAACAAAAGCTAATAACTTCAAATTAAAAGAAACAAACATCATAATTAAAGCAAGGCGAAGAAGAAAACAAAAGCTAATCCTTTCGATCGGACCACTCTATGCGTTTTAGATTGAGTCTATATATACGCAAGGCTCCATAAAACACTTACCTCTGGCTCTGCAATAAAAACTCATCACTTGTCTCTCTCATTGTCATTTTCCTCCAAAACAACAGGTACCTCTCTCTTTCTCTCTGTGACATTATCTTCCTGATGAATGTGATCTGCTAAGAGTTATTAAGGGTTTAAAAGCATATTCATTGTCTCTATGGATTTTTATTGACATGTGCGATTTTTCCCTGCTGTACTTGAAGGAAACAAAAGAAACCAAATGGAGATCGACTTGACACCCAAGAAGGCCGAAGCCATGTTTGAGTGAGATGGTGGATCTTACTACTTATGGTCAACTTCTCGAGTTCCTGCTTTGGCCAGCAACAACGTTGGTGCTGGTCCCCTTGTTCTTCAACCTCAAGGCTTTGCTCTTCCTCACTACGCAGATTCTTCTAAAATTGGCTGTGTTCTTGAAGGTAGCTCACTATCTTCTCAAGCCATATAGTATTGTTTTTCATAAGTATCCGGTTTTTAATATTAGAGCTAGTTTGATATTTAATTTGGTTCTAAATATAAGAACCTAATTCACTTTGTCTTTCATGTTTATCCATTTTTCTAAAATAGTCTCTACAGTAATTGTACGTGTTAAATATTCTATTAAATGATAATTCTAGGTAGTACATATGATTATCAGGGGCATCTTAGAATAGATAACACATTTATTACAAATAATTAACTTAACAAACTTTCTTAATATATTTAAATTAGTCAACTAGCTTTTATATTAAGAACGGGTAATATGTGTATATATATTGTAATATACATGATTGTTTCCTAATTGTATAGTCTCTGCATCATAGTCTTAAGTCTTATTGTCAACGTCTTGGCCAATGCAGGGACAGATGGCATAGCTAGGATGTTGCTCCCAAACGCAGGAAAAGAGGTCGTTTTAAAGCTGAAGAAGGGAGATGTAATCCCAGTACCTATAGGAGCACTCTCATGGTGGTTCAACAATGGAGATTCTGAACTGATCATGGTGCTTCTGGGTGAAACATCTCAGGCTTATGTTCCTGGCCAGTTCACCTACTTCATTCTAAGTGGAACTCTAGGAATTATGGGAGGCTTTTCCACAGAGGTCATAACCAAAGCCTACAATTTGACCAACGAAGAAGCAAACAAGCTCACAACGAGCCAACAAGGATCTATGATCCTTAAGCTTCAGAAAGGCCTACACAAAATTCCAGAACCCCAGATGGACAAGACCAAACAGATGGTGTACAACATTGATTTTGCAAAACCAGACCATGGGGTAAAAAATAATGGAGGATTAGTCACAATTGTGACTGACTTAGATCTCCCTTTTGTTGTAGAAGTTGGGCTGCGTGTGATCAGAGTGAAGCTTGAACCTAATGCCACTAAGGCACCACTCTATCTAACCATTCCTTCAACTCAATTGATTTATGTTGCTAGAGGAAGTGGGAAGATTGAGATTGTGGGGTTCAACGGGAAGCTTGTGTTGGATTCTAAGGTTGAAGCCGGTCAACTGATAGTTGTGCCAAAGTTCTTTGTCGATCTCTGCACAGGTTGCTGGCGATGTTGGAATGGATTTCTACTCCATCGTCACAGCGAAAAGGCATGTAACTTGTCTAGCTTCTCGTCTGAATTTTTAATCAAATCATTATTACCACTTTTGGTCTTTAATATAAAAGCTAATTAACTAATTTGAGTGGATTAAAGAAGTTTGTTGAGTTAGTTATTTGTAATAAGAAGGTATTATCTTTCTAAAAATACCCTTTCTAATCATGTGTAACTATCATTTGATGGAATCTTTAACATGGACAACTATTATAATAACTATTTTGAAAAAAATAGATAAATATAAGAGATAAAGTGAATTGGGATATTATATTTATGACCAAATTGAATGTCAAATTAGTTCTTATATTAAAAAATAAAGATAACATTATTCATGTTTACATATATATATGGATCACTTGCAGGCCTATGTTTGAAGTGTTAGCTGGGAAGTCATCAATATGGGAGGCCACGTCTCTTCAAGGGCAACAAGTGGTTCTTAATGTGGATCCTGCAGTTTTAGAGAAGCTTTGATCTCGTCCAACATCAAATCTCTCTCCTCCAACTAATCAATAACCTCTTGTGCTTCATGTTGCATCCTACGTACGAACATGAATGTGTGTGTACACGTATGTAAAGTTATTTCCACAATTAGTCTGTATTGTGCTTTGACTTTAACTAGTTCAATGCCCGTGCAATGCACAGGATATGTTCAAGGCAAATAAAATTTTTTACAACTCGCGCTTTTCATCTTTTTTTTTCCTACATGTAATAATTGTTGGGAAGAAAAAAAACTGATAGATATGGAAGGATGATAACTCAAATAAAAAATCAGTTTAAGTTCTTGATTTAATAATATTTATATTTTCAGTTGGATCCACACAAAACTAAATAGTTAGTTGTAGCTCGACATTTAGCTTTAAGACGTTGACAAAGACGTGGAACTATGATCAAGCAACAGACCATGTTGGTAAGTATGAAGCTATTTTCTAAGCTCAAGAGCACCCATTTAGTCGCAATCTGAGACCAAAGCAAGCACAGTGACTAGATTAGGAGCATAGAAGTCAATAAATGTTGTTGATTTACCAAACAAATCTGACTCTTATCTAGCAAAACCCTTGGCAAAAATTCAGATGGCATAGACAAGATATATTTGTTACTTGAGAAGCAAATAGACTACTCTTTTCTGACCACATTGAAGCCGTTTGAAGACAAGCATTTATTTTCTTCTAACAGCATATCCATAGTGACTTTAAATTTAATTCTTAGCCATTAAAAATTCAATTGTCAT